GCCCAGCTAATTTTTGATTTATTGTAGAGATGAGGTCTTGCCAAGTTGCCAGGCAGGTCTTGAACCCCGGGCTCAGGCAATCCACTCACCTCGGCCTTCCAAAGTGCTGGGATTACAGGCTGAGCCACCGAGCCCAGCCCATACCACACATCTTTAAGATAAAAATTTTTAAATTATATATTTTTTACATCTGACCTAGATTAGTTTATATGGCTAAGACCTTTAAGATAGGCGCTATTTCTTCATTAGCTAGAAACCATGTATAGGCCAGGTGTGGCAGCTCACACCTGTAATCCCAGCACTTTGGGAGGCAGAGGCGAGAGGATTGCCTGAGTCCAGGGATTTGAGAGCAGCCTGGGCAACTTGGCAAGACTGCCTCTACAATAAATCAAAAAATTAGCCAGGCATGGTGGTGTGCGCCTGTAGTTCCACTTTGAAGGCTGAGGTAGAAGGATCACATGAGCCCAGCAGGTCGAGACAGGTGGCTGTGAGCGGGCCACTGCACTCTGGCCTGGGCAACAGTGAGACTCTAACAACAACAAAAAAGAAAAATATATGTAATGTGACAATAATGAAATTTCAAATGTAGTGACTTTATCAAAATTGCCTAAAATCTTTTCATTTGGCCAGATGCAGTGGCTCACACCTATAATCCTAGCGCTTTGGGAGGCCAAGGTGAGAGAGAGGATTGCCTGAGCCCACGGGTTCGAGACCAGTCCCGGCAACATGGCAAGACCTCATCTCTACAATAAGTAAAAAAAAAAAAAAAATTAGCCAGGCATGGTCGTGTGTGCCTGTAGTTGAGCTACTTGGAAGACTGAGGTGGAAGGATTGCCTGAGCCCAGCAGGTCACGGCTGCAGTGGCTGTGAACGTGCCACTGCACTCCAGCCTGGGCAATAGAGTATACTAGAGCCTCCTTTTTACATCATGAAACAAAGCTTGTGCCTACACCTACTAACTGGCCCACATTCACTGTTGGAGGTTTGTGTGTGTGTGTGTGTGTGTGTGTGTGTGTTAATCAACAGGATTTTTAATTGTAGGCATAAATTTTGGCGTAGACTTACCAAGTATATTTTACTTTTGAGTCAGTGTAGTGTCATTCTTTTCTAGAATACTGCAAAAATGTGCATCCATGAAGTATATAGTTTTGAAACGGGAAGTGTGTTTTCTTCAGACCATCAAAATTCTGTCTTTCCATAATTTTGTTCAACTATTTTTGAAAATGAAGGTTTCTTTAATTTCTTACAGATACTATTCAAATCAGCCACTATGTTCCCTGTTGGTTTTTGGCTTGGGGTGTTTGTTTTATTTTATTTTATTTTTTTATTTTATTTTTTGAGTTGGGGTCTCACTCTGTCGCCCAGACTGGAGTGCAGTGACCGCTCCCAGCCACCAGCTGGGCTCCGGCAATCCCTCCGCCTCAGCCTTCCAAGTAGCTGGAATTACAGGCGCGCGCTACCACGCCCGGCTAATTTTTTGATTTATTGTAGAGATGAGGTCTCGCTGCCCAGGCGGGTCTCGAACCCGCGGGCTCAGGCAATCCACTCACCTCAGCCTCCCAAAGGTGCGAGATTACAAGATGAGCCACCGAGCCCGGCTGATTGAGCCCGGCTGAGGGTGTTTATTTTAAACAAGCATCCAAGACAAAACATAGGAGGGTAAGGTCACAGACTAATTTGCAATGAGATCAAATCCAGATTGTAGTTCAGGTTAATTAGAACCAACATGGTACTTGGATTCTAGAGAACTGTACCCCGAAGTGAAAGTCATCTTTGTTAAATTATTGAAATAATATACAGAATATTAAAATGGTGAATTGGCCAGGCATGGTGGTGGCTCAATCCTGTAATCCCAGTACTTTGGGAGGCCAAGGCGAGAGAATTGCCTGAACTCAGGGGTTCAAGACCAGCCCGGGCAACTTGGCAAGACCTTGTCTCTCCAGTAAATCAACAAATTAGCTGGGCGCGTTGATGCATGCCTGTGGTCCCAGCCACTTGGAAAGCTGAGGAGAAAGGATCGCCTGAGCCCAGCAGGTCGAGGTTGCAGTGGCCATGAGCGTACCACTGCACTCCAGCCTGGGAGACAGAGTGAGACTCCAACTCTAAAATAAAATAGAATAAAATGGTGAGTTGAGGTAGGGAGTTAGTGCATGAGGTGTGCCTCTAACAAGTAAGAAATATATAACATTTCTATCCAAATGAACATCATCCCTTACTAGGAACTGCCTTTAAAACTTATAATAAATATTCTTTTAAATAGCCTCAGTGGGAAAGATGCTTTTTCTTTCAGTTTTGAAATACTTTTAAACATTTCTGATCCAAACCTACTGAAAAAGAATGGCCAGGCTGTTGGAAGAAGAGACACATAACTAAAGGGATTAGTGTAGCAATAACCTGGCTCAGGTCGCATGTGTCACGGAGCCAGATTTAAAGTTGCAAACCTAACCTTGGAGATAAAAGTAGTTGCATTGTTTTTTGAATGATGTCAAGTAATTTTTTCTGTAAAACACTAATTTCTTAAGGTAATTATTTGATTTTTTTTTTTTTACAGTAAATCAAGTTTATTTACTGTCATCTCTGTTCCTCTGAGATAACATTGTCCACAGTCACATATAATACATATAATACAGTTATGTATTGATTATTTACACTTTATAGTAGTATTCTTTCCTATGAAGAAAGTTCAAAAGCTGGGTAAACAATGACATACTGCCATTTGGGATTTATCAGATGTCAGAGCTTAAAGAACTAGTCTT